ACACTCAAGGGGTTAATCATTTTGTATAATAAATACAAATATAATAAAAACTATCTTATTATACAGATAGTATTTTATCAATATAATTAATCGTAGTCAGTGACGTTAATCAATGAACGCGGTATTATAATATTTTCAAATTTTATTTCTGTCGATTCCAAAGTTTGTTATTGGTGGATCAAAAATCTTTTCTCGTTACATCATGTATTTTTTAAACTGTCTGATCAATAAGCTTCAATAAGTTAGTCCCTTACTGAGGTTCGTCGAATTACCTGGGTACAGAAATCGTTGAATGGGAACAACGTGAATATATGTGAATCATTGGGACATAAGTAATGTAGATTACGCAGCTGAGGATATTGTGAGGCGGTGTAGCTATAAATCATATTTTTATGAGACACTCTATGGTTGATCAAAAGAAAAGGGTCTTTTGGAAAGAATGCAAATATAAATTATAAACCGAAATCTCCGACTCATTAGTTCGCTTCTTTTCCTTTTTTTCTTTTTTAAAACTATATTATTATTATTTTACTATTATTGTGATGATTATTATAATTATTACTGTTAATAATATGGAGAAGCTGCGTATTTTGCGTGCATATTTTTAAGATTTTTATATATAACTTTAAATAAACTTATACACTAAATTTCTTGCAGTGAAATCTCACTCCAAGAGAGTGAAAATACAACCACCCTTGAAAAAAAGTGAAAATATTTCACTTCTTGAAAAAGAGTGACAATTTTCACTCTTTTTAGAGTGAATTTTCATTTCAAAGGAGTGAAGTCTCATTCCAAAAGAAGTGAGATTTCACTGCTTTGAAGTGCAAATTCATTCTAAAAAAAAAAGTAAAAATTGTCACTCTTTTTTAAGAAGTGAAGGATGATTGTATTTCCACTTTCTTGGAATGAGAATTTTATATCTATAGATATAAAACTTTATAACGTCTTAAAATACGTGCAATTGCTGCGAGATACATTTATTAATATATCATTCTTTCCTTGACGCATAATGATACATAATAAAAGGGTATCACAGTTTTTTCTAGAGAAGAATGTCTAATGAATCGGTAAATGCGTTAGCAACTTAAAATACATGCAAAATCTTACATTTATAATGTGCAGTGATTGTCATGTCTGAAAAACTATATAAAGTAATTGCAAATACGGTCACGTATAGACTGTACGTAGCACGATAAATTTACGTCATTCGAGGCAGCTATTGGCTCTCGTGCTATTTTCGATCGATCATTGAATATTTCTTGAAAGCCCACATCCACTTAACACGAATAGATCCTGCGTTCGTCGTAACGCACCGTTACAGATACGTGTACTTAACAAAGTGGTTGGCACTTTGACGAAGTAGTCGCTCGTAAAAAAAGACCCAGGCGCGGACGGTTAAAGCCTCATGAAAACGAGATGAGGAATCGTGTACCGGCACAAATCCATGAGCTCTAAAGCGAGACGAGAAGAATGTGTATTGCAACACGACCAGGAACGACATAACGCTCGGTCTCGCCCCTGAAACGGCATCAAAGTAACTGTCGATCGTTAGAGGGATCGTTTTACGAGTGGAAATAATATTCCAAGCGTCGTCAACTGGTTAAATATGTGTAACAATGATGGACGACTACGACTATACCATTGCACGCGTATGAACGAACTCGGTTTCTTTTATCATCCCACTCAAAAAAATTTCTGGTTGAAAATGGACGACTCAAAATTTTCTGGTTAAATTGATTAGAATTTAGTTGAGATAACCGGAATTCTGATTGATATAATATCTTTGATAAAATCTACTAGAATTCTTATTTTTACCAGAATAATTATATCAATCAAATTATATCAATCAGAATTTAGTTATCTCATTGTCAATTATAATTCTAGTAGATTTAATCAGAAAATTCTGATTCGCCCATTTTCCATCAGAATTACTATTTGATCCAATCAGACCGACTTTGAAAACATCTTTCGTTAGATACCACGAATCTCTTCTCAGAATCATTTTAATCGACTCCTTTGTTTGCCAATGTTTCAATTGTGTCTAAAAGATTCATTAATAAAACGTAGTTATGCTCCAACTTGAAAAAGAACGCACAAAAAACGTAAAAGTGATTTCGGCGAAAATACAATTACGCGGTATATAGGTATATTATCGCGAAATCACCGGCTTTTATAGCTTCGAGGAATCTACAAAACTTGTAAACTATCGAAATATTAACTAACGGATGTGCCAACAATACGGAAAATAATTTCGAAAGCAAAACATATCTGATAGATATACAGAAGAGAACGTGATAAGAGCAATGAAAAAAAACCTGGTTGGATTATATTAACCGTTAGTTAATATTTCGATAGTTTACAAGTTTTGTAAGTTCCTATTGTAGGTTCCTCGAAGCTATAAAAGCCGGTGATTTCGCAATAATATACCTATATACCGCGTAATTGTATTTTCGCCGAAATCACTTTTATGTTTTTTGTGCGTTCTTTTTCAAGTTGGAGCATGACTACGTTTTATTAATGAATCTTTTAGACACAATTGAAACATTGGCAAACAAAGGAGTCGATTAAAATGATTCTGAGAAGAGATTCGTGGTATCTAACGAAAGATGTTTTCAAAGTCGGTCTGATTGGATCAAATAGTAATTCTGATGGAAAATGGGCGAATCAGAATTTTCTGATTAAATCTACTAGAATTATAATTGACAATGAGATAACTAAATTCTGATTGATATTTCTAACGAAAGATGTTTTCAAAGTCGGTCTTTCTTTTGAGATGTGAACTGGGTCTTTATCGCCACTACTCTTTCGGGATGTATGTCTGCGAGACATGTTTTACGAGGCGACCAGATTTTAGTGTCGAATGATGTTTTGCTTGGTCAAGCTTTTTAGTATCTATCTTGTACCGCTCTTTGTTTACAAGTTATTGCTTCGTGTATCAATCAGATAAAATAAAAGACTCAATCGAAATACCATACGGTTATAGATCAAATTAAAATAATCGACTCCTTGATTTTCCAGTTTCCATGACTTTATATCTTAATCTGATTAATCTGCTTCATTTATTTGTATTTATTTTTTTAAACAGATTTTTTGAAATTTTGTTGACGCATAACTCGCAGCGATGTTGAAAGTAAAACGAAATTGTAATGGATTGCCATCGAAAACATCATGATCGAGATTTCACCAAACAGGATTGATTCGACAAAGATATCTGATCTAGGTACCAATGCGTCTAGACTTTCGAAAAAGTCTGTTACAACCTGCTATCGTAGCGGGCAGGAAACCGGGTCTGCCATTGGATGCACGTATGAAAACTAAGTCCGGGTTTCATTTGACTGGCTTTACGAGGGAGACATAAAATGGATTTTACTGTCGGCTAGTTCGCCAGTTCTCGAGTTGGTAACATTGCTTTAGCGAACATAATATACTCCTCCGCGTCCTTGTCGCTTCTTCAGTCCTTTCCTCTTTCTCACCCATTCTTTTCTCTCTTGCCATCTTTCCGTAGTGGATTTTGTTTTACGGCGGTGGACCTCGTCCGCCTCCTTCCCCTTCGCATTCGCGACTCGACGATCTTTAAAGCATCGCGATAAGTTTTCTCTCGTCGGTCGTCTCTTCTCGAGAAAACTTCTCGAATGAGAAATGTCCCGCTACCAGATTTAATATCCGCTGGATAGGCCGACATGGCAGTCGTTAACTTTTCTCCAGGCTCCATTTCTTAGTGGAAACCTCAGCGGTTTCCGGCATTCGGTAATTTTTTTTTGCGTTAGTGTTAGTGCCGCGTTGTTGTTTATATTGAACGATTGGATTGGGTTTGGTTTCCTTAGAATCGTTTTAATAAAGACTTAAATAATAACAAATTTATGATAACCTGGCTAAATACATTGTTTTTATAAATTGTTTTTATAAATTTTTGATAGTTTTAATAGACGGACATGTGTAAAACTGGAGGAAATTCTCGAGGTGTAATATGTACAATAAATTAAATACGGTAATAAACTGTTATCGCAAAGAAAAATGCAAATAAGTGGTGTTTTCATTGATGATGTCACCATAAGTGCAATACATTCTTGAACGTAGTTGAATATAACGCTGCGTTTTTACATTGCATGTCAAGTCGTTTGACAAACGTGCATTTACGTCAGTAAATGTTGTCAGCGGCAATAAAACAACGCGATTTACTCGGTATTATTACGAATTTCAAAATAGCATAGATAGATATGTCTATATATTTTTTATCCCCTCATTACAGCTGGTACTTTAATCACAGCTGGCAATTATACTTCTTTTTCCTTTTACAGATAATATACAGACGATAATAATTAAAAAGCAATCGTAGATCACAATTAAATCGGAATTATTACAATTTTGAAAATAATGTCATTTTTAATAGAAGGATGTGGAATTACGTATCTAAGTAGATAGAGTCCGCATTAATACGACATCTCATTGGTTTTATTACATTTTCAAGCAAATTGATAAACTACTCCGCTACTTCTTTGAATCTCGGAAACTGTGCGTCGTAGAATTATACGTGATACGTTGCGTAAATCTTATTACATAAGACAGAATCAATTTATTTACGTTATTATTCCCGATGTAGATATGATCTCAACATCTGACAATTGTTATTGCGATTTATTCGCAATAATTATTTTATGCTTAAATCCTACAAATTGGGAATAAATATTAAAGACAAATGTGCGAACAAATGTGTGCCTAAAACTTCGATCCAAATTAACAAAGTAAAAGGAAAATATTATAAAGAAAAATAAGAGGATGAGATGTATTCTTCTTTATTTGGACATGTCACACTTATTATTTATTATTGATAAAATAGCGATATTTCTCGATGATATATTAATGTCTTATTAATTAAAATTAGAAAAAATGGATATTATGACAGGTGAAATTAGAACGAACATGATTGTTTAAGAGATCTTAGAAATGAACGACATTATTGTGTGCCTATTACTATTACCATCCAATTTTTCTGCTTTCAGATCGACCGTTAACAATCAATGAAGTAAATCGACGAGGAAAACGTGTAAGAACGTGTAGAATCCAAAGAAAATCGTGTCGCCTCCAAAGTGATAGAACGATTGTCGGAACGAGCACTGAACCTGACTATCAATCATTACCGACACGTTTCGGACATCGCTTCGCGAGGTGTGCAGTCAACGCTGCTACATATTCAGTGGTCCGAACAAATCGCAGTCAATCGAGAAATTTAAAAAAAAAACTCGCGAAAAATTATTGTATCGATTTCACAACAAGTTCCCAGACGTTTTCCGTTCTTTGCTTTTAATTCCCGATCGAGATCGTGATCCCTAGTGAAAGGACGAAAAGTTACCGCTTCTCTACGAACACTCTCACAATGATCGACGCCATCGCGATAACAGATCTTTTGCGGTAAGATCGTGGATCGAACGATCGTGGATCGTCATGCGAACAAGATCGCAGAGCGTAACCCATTCATTTTTCAAACGATCACTCGCATTTCCTCGGCAGGCGAACGCTGAATTGTATACAATCGCCGCGTTCGGATTTTCGTTTCAGGCGAAACGAAATCGACGGACCCTGACGTTACGCATGGTAAAGCAGCTCCCGCAAGGCAGCTTAATCAAGCATAATCTCGGAGACTGAGAAGACCGCGACATACCGCTTCTGACGTCCCTTGAGCTTGTCCGGCGAGTTCATGTACCGCGTCCTCACGTGTCTGTCCATTTTAAAATTCGGTGCGAGAACGCGATGGCAAGATGCCGCTGCAGAGAAAAACGACCGTAAGTGCGACAGGCATCAAGCGAATCGTTAAAAAATCTATCCGATCATAAGCAATGGTTGCGTTCAGCAGACTCAACAGTTTTGCAACAGTTTTATGATTGTCTGCTGAGATAGGACCATTCTTCTAGATCTAAAAGTATGATCCAATTAGCGCGAAGGAAACTTCCAACAGTTGCAAAACAAACGTTCTGCTGAACGCAGCCAATGGTTTTATTCGTTGGTTTCTCCACAACGGCGCGGATGGCCAATTTTGCGTGTGGAAAATCAAACACTGGATGATGGCGTTGGTCGAATTAATCAATGACGGATACAGTGATTTTGATGCTTTCTGCCACAGATGTCTATACTAATATTAGATTGCTAACCTCTGTGATTTAAGCGTCAGAAAGTGTGTGCGGCAGGATATCCAATTTCAGCCATGTTCGACCGCAACAAAATGGCCGTTTGCTTGTCAGGCACAGCTGTAGCGGCCAACCTAAGCAATCTTAGGTTAGTGTGCTTGGCAAGCAGGCAAGCAGCAAAGGTCTATTTAAAAATTCTCTCAAAGATATATATAAAAGAATATAGATAGATATATAAAAAAAATGTATGTTAAATTTGAATTAAAACATTGCAGGAGAAAGTAATTATATCGAGGATGGAATGAAAATTTTTGATCTGAAAGAAGAGAACATCCAAGAAGCGAGAAAACAGAGACTTAATGTATCTATAAATAAACGCTTATGTATTATTTTATTAATGTACCAATAAATGCTTAAAATATAGAAACAATTTTGAACATTGGTTGAGAGATTTTTAGATATAAAATGTCTTTCAAAAAAATTATTTTTCAATGTAATCTATTAAAGTCAGCATTAATAAAACATTTAGAGATGCAGGAAATAATAATGAACAATAATTTTAAGTGCTCGGCATTGTAATACTTATTTACTCGAGAATACGTTCTCGAGCAAATACTAACGCGTCGTATACCGGCAACAGCGGCAACGGAAACACACCGACAATGAAATCGCATCTATAATATAATATTAGTAGAAATCACATCTATGCACTAATACACATACTCGCCGCCATTTTGTTGCGGTCGAACATGGCTGAAACCGGATATCCTGCCGCACACAGCACATTGGCGACTGTTAGCAATCTAGTATAGTATAGACATCTGTGCTTTCTGCTTATTCATATATATTATATGTATATATGCTGACTTGTGCTGTTTTCTCGATTTAAATGTGTTATTGAATATTATTGGAAGATACGAGACTTACAGCCACGCATGATCGAGCACATGGTAGGACATCTATATTTCAATCATAGATCGATTACGTAATACTTAAATTTATTCGACAAATTTTTCAAATTTTTCTATTTCTCAAAAAAGCGAAGAAAAATATCTCTTTCTGTTAGAAAAGGTTCGCATAAGTTAAGGAATCACCTTGGCCAGGAAAAGAACAATGCAATGTGTAAAGAAACAAACGTTATATATTTGCAGGTGAAAGCAAAAATCAATAATGATAATGAGTATATTTAACAAAAGAGACTAATTCGCAAACAACAGCTTTATGATTGTAGATAATTATGAAATAGCATTGGTTCAAATCAATTATGAATCTTATTGTGGCAAGCAAGAAGCGAGTTTACATTAGAAAATTAAAGAATCTAATATGGTTGTCTCAAGTGATATCGAAACGGAATACTTAAATTAATTTGATTATAGTGAATAATACCTCGCTAGGTATACGGAACAAACTAAGCTTAGGAGTGAGTTAAATATTATGCATTGAATAATTAAGAATTGTAATGTCAAGCTTAACGTATAACCAAATCATATGCAACATATTGAATTGTTAAAGTAAAGAACATAAGAGTCAATTTGATTATACATAAGAAGCATAAGGCATTATACATAATGAGGCATGTGCAAATTATATCAGTAACAATATCATGGTACAATACATTGAACAAATCATACATGAAAGCAAAATACATCAAACGTGTGAAATGCATGGCAACAGTGATAGAATGAAAATAATTGAGCACAGTAAGAAAAATAGTCAGATCATGAACTTATCGATATAATAACGTCACGAGTACATACATGAGCAGCTCGCAAGTAAACTCATCAATGCAACATAGCAATGAACTACAGCAACTAACAATTTATAAGGATTGATTCTGACTTTTTAGCAAGGAAAATCATAATGTGCTCAACTACGCAAATAAATGTATATTGCAGACGCTAACGGAATCGCTTCAGTAATGAATTCATGAGCGGTAATCTTAGGTTTAATGCAACGGTCGAAACAGCATTAAAACAGTGCTCACTGTCCTTGTCTGCGCCAGGTCCTACGCCGTTCGTGTGTACTTACGCGTACACTCACGATTCAGCTTCAAGATCGAATGCAAGTTTTTAACACTTTTTTAGATATATTCATGCAAATCGTGTTTGTTCAATGCTCAAAAATCAGATACGTGACATTTTTTATGCTTAATATTGTAAAACGTAATGGCAACAGCACACGATAGATAAAATGTCGTCCGACTGTTATGTGTCGTACATGTGCATGGTTGCATTGTACATTGCCAAGGACTTTCCATAAACGACACAACAGTCAGCCGACACTTTGTCTATCGTGTATTCTTGCCTGAACAAGTATCATTACATCGCAGCAATTAACGTGAGTAAATCTTTAATCTTGATAACGAGTAAAGCAATTAATCTTGGAATATCATGAATTAATTCAGTCCATATTAAAATTCTTTTTTCGCGCCGTATACGACGAATTATCAACCGCTATTCTACGATAATTAAAATTTTTCATACAAAAGGCGAGCGCATCTGCGCGCAAAATCGGCGGATGTGTCAGACGTGCGGTGTGGTGCAATGAAATAGCCGCTCAAAAACTGGTCGCTTCAGCTTGCGGCAAATTAATTTACAAATAAGAACACTAAAAAACACTGTCCCTTCGATATGCAGTCTCATTCCCTTCTGTTTGCTTCTTTTCTCTTGCCTCTGTCCCATCTCTCTTGCTTCGTGCGAAACACGTTTCAAGTAACAATTTGATGTATAGCCCGATCGAATATTACCATAGAATACTTAATGACTTGTTTCCGTAAATGAATTTGCGTTTCAGTAATGAGCATGTACGCCATACTGTGTCAGATTTATCATCATCGTCGTTAATTTGTAACAGAAGAATTAATTTGCATATTAACCAAGCTTTTATGGACACAAGATTTCGCTTCAGAATTTATATTTTATGTTTAAATTTTATAACTAAATTTTCTTTTGATTCATATATATATATATATATATAGGTATGTTATATCTTTTAGTGGAACTTTCTATTTCTTGCTTTTAGTTAAGCTATATAGTTAAGTTAAGCTTAGAAATTTAGTTAGAATTAATTCAATAATTAATTATATATATATACTATACATATATATATATATACTATACATATATATACAACACATAACTATTCTCTCATTATACATTTCATATTAGCCATTAGGTATTAGAATCTAGGCATACTACTAGATATTTTTCAGATTCTGCCAACACGTTTTGCATAAAAAACACCATTCTGTTTTCGCTTTGCGAATGTCTGAATCGTGAAGAGAAATTCTCACGGACACTATACAGCGACTGACTTTTAATTAACCATTGCACGTCATTACATAAAGTGGACTCACTTTGTGCAATCCTTTTGTTATGTGTGAGACTCGCGTCAGATGTTCGTACGAAGAAAACATACATGGCCACCTATTGGATGACGCCGATATCCTATAATTTTCGGCATCTTGGCATTTATTATATAACTCGTAATTTTAGTTTAAGGCAGCTTCGCCATTGTTATACGTACGATTAAAGAAATGCAATTGGAGTGCAACACTCACGTCCGCTTTATCATGTTAAATCATCCAGCGGGGAAACGAATAGACAAATCGAATTGCATAACGCGATCTGTTGCATTTGATAGAGCAGAAGCTTCTATTCTTCTACGCAGATCTTCGAAGTTACATCAAATTCGTTAAACAATATTCCGTTCTTATGAAACTAGAACTGTGAAGTGTTAACATAATGGCGTTAAGGAGATCCTAAAGCCGTCTGTATTACCAATTCAATAGAACTTACATACCTACGATTTACGTGTCATTGCTATATCAGTACACACTACTACATCAGTATCACACGCACACATACATACAAATTTTCTAACTATAATTTTTTATATTAGGTATCTAAGCCTAATTCTAAGAACACGACATTGTTTATTCATGTAAGCCTTAGTCCAAATCAAGATTGTTTCATACATGCAAGTTTAAAATTTATATATAAAGCAAGTATCGTTGCGAATCGACATCAGAAGCCGATAACAAAACTGTAATTTTCTAACTTTTTTTCGTTTTTGACATAAAGTCAACCGATTTGGACTACACTATCGTTTATACTTTAATTGGAGAGAAGAATTTGTAAATCCGTATAAGGCAGTTATAAAAATATTTGTTTGAAAAATAATCGATAAAACAGACGACTTTAGCCCCTTAAACGACGTGCATTGTACTCATGTATCCGTTAACTTTGCGTATGAAACATGTGTCTATTGTGGGTCGCATATATCTGCACGTACATATGTCACCTATGCGTTAAGTATGCGTGCGTATGTCCGCACGCAAAGTACGACACGTTGAATTCTTTGAACTTCTTAGAAAACAGGACTCATCCATGATTTTCCTACATTCTCTGTTGTCGGAGAAACTAAAAAAAGAATTCGTATCCCTTAGAACAATTATGATTAAATATCAGTTTCCAATTATATTACAATAAAATACTTATCTTATTTCGATACTTTTTTCTGTTTATAAAATATTCGAGGAATTCGAAATTAAGAGGGAAGACAACTTAATTTTTAATCGGTAATTCTATTATCTTTTTTGTCTGACAAACTTTACCGTGATGTAACGCACGTCTTGTATTTTGAATATTAATGTCCACACGTCTCGCTGAGATAATCCCTATATATTCGTCGGTTAATGCACTTTTC